GTCTCACCGGGCTGCCCAGAGTTTCTCGAGTCAACGGTGGCGTCCAGCTCTTGGAGAAGACGTCGATATCTTGGAGCCGGCCGCAAGTCCAGCAGCGCCAACAGGGCCAACTTGCGTCGAAGCCACGGAAGACGACTTTCCTCCCCCTGAACCTGCCCCAAGTTATGAGCGGACTTGCCATCTTTCCCCGACGACCCTTTGCTCTGTTGCCCTTTCAATTTGCAATCCGATTTGCAATGATCCTTGCCACCGCAGATCCAACAACGGGAGTTCTTGTCGTCAACGCCATCCCAACTGTGTGACCACTTGCAATTCTTGCCAGCTTTGCGCCCAGCCCCCGACCGAAAGTACTTGCAAGGCATAGACGCCAGTGAAGCGCCCTTGCCTTTGTGGCCGGCGCCACTCCCCACAGTTGAAGGCTTCGTTTGGGCCTCCACCCTTCCCCTTAGGCTGCATAGGTGGGGGGATATACCAAGCTTCATGATTCGCCCTAATCGAGGTGGTGCCAATTTCCCAGGTACTGCTAGGGGGCATCAGGCTCCATTGATGATCCCCTAACTAAGCCCTCGGCGCGCTCTGCCGCAATGTGAGCAGATCAGAAAACAATGGACGCGCCATGTTTGGAAATTGCGCATCCAAGACCGACCACAAACCCTTGTGGCAGCCCTAAGTTGACGTCCTCCAGATCCGGGAATGCGTCACGCAATGCCTTGGAGATTGCTGGCTGATACCTCACCACGAGCCTTGTTGCTGGTCCGATGGGAAGGGTCTCAAGAGAAGGTTGACTCTTCTCTGCTCAGTCCGCTGATATCGACCATCCATCAACTCATCTGCAAGTCGAGGCGTGATCTGCGCCCTCCAGCGGCGATGATGTCTTCCAGCGATCATAATAACATTGGGCCTCCCTCAACGTCAAGTTCCGCCAGCGAGCGCTGACTTGGGGAGATGTCCCTCAATACTGGTCCACAAACTGCCAACCAATCTCCAAGCTCCAAAGGCGAAGCGTCTGCCGAAAGCTCAGCCAGTTCAGCTTTACTGTTGCCTGTTCCTTCATCCATAGATTCCGCCACTGACATCGTGATGGTCGGGACTCACGCTTCTGCCACCTGGAATCGACAGGCCCCCTGGAATGGTCACCCAAGGATCAGGAGGGCAATACACCGTCCTGGCCAGGTTCCGTACCGCCTTCACCTGCAGGACCTCGAAGACCTTGAAAATCGTGACCTGGAAGACCATACGACCCAGTGGGGGGTGCAGGAGGCACATCCTTCGAACATGCTGCAGCTGGCCACGACGAATCACCTTTCAAACACTCCAGCAATGGCTTGAGTTCAGCCACCTCGCGTTCCAAGCGAGCTTCTCGGTCCTCTTGAGGCATGAAGACCTTCCCTTCTCTCATGCTCAACGGGATCCAATTTGAGTCGCCCCGTCCATGGTGTTTTGACTCCATCACTTCATACCCCTGCAGCAAACTAATGTCAGCCGAGGCTCTTGTTGGAAAAGGTGGGAACGGATCATTTTGAGGGGGTGGACCCACAAGAATCTGAGTTCCATTCGGAGTGAACTGCACCGGCTTTGATTGAGTTGGAGGAGGCCGTTTGGTTGATGGACTTCTCCGCCGGGGTGTACGAGGTGGTTGCGCACCAACATGATGACCAACCGATTGGTGACCACTCTCACGGTCAAGCCTTTGACACCCTCCGGAACTACGATCATGCCCATGAGAACCTTCATGACCACCACCACGCCCACCCGCGACGCCTTCAACGGTCTCCCATGAGGAAGGTGTGGACATAGCTGCTCCGGCCATTTCCTTAGCTGTCTGGTTCCTTAGTCTTTCCAGTTCTTCTTGAAGTTGGGCGTTCTGTTCCCTTAATAACGACAACACCATCTCTGCCTCCTGCGCCCGCTGTAAGGCAAGACCTAAAAAAGGACGTTTGGGCGCGTAACCCTTGTGAGATCAGTCGGGCAACGTCCTGTTTTCTTCTCTTGGTACAAAATGCCTGCGATGGTCTCACCGCTCGTTCGATGTCCTGTCCAAAGACCCGGAAAACGTCCACAACGAAGAACATCCATGGCATTGCAACAACTCCCAAGGTTCTGCTGACACAGCCGCGCTACTGGTAAGACTCGGGCCCACGGCTGGAAATGATTTAAAAAATTAGAAGCTATTATGAAAACAGGACAGTCCGAATGGGCACCTGTATGTGCTTAAAATTCATGAGGATAGGTGGATACGCCGATATGGTCCAAGCTACGCTTGCTTGTGAGCAATGCTGCAGCAAATCTAATCTCAAAGATCATATTCATGCAAGTTTGAAATGTCTCGACTTTGCAAACTGAAGAGGATTCAACGTGAACAAGCTGGGCTTGGACACTTGATGCAAATCCTCCCAAACTGCTCTTCTAGCAAATCTAAACCTCAAATTATTGGTGCGCAATGTGTACACTCAGGCGCTACCAATAAAGATCCTTCAAAGCGATGTTTGAACAAACGCAATGCCCCTTCCAAATTATTTCATATTACTTCTAAGGCTGTGTTCACGCAGGTGTAGTGCATGTTTCAAAGAATTGCACGGTATGTTTTCAGTATGTGTCCATAAAACATTGCAACAGGATGTTTTTGCAGGTTTGCGGCTTGCGTAAATTTACGGATGAATAGTGGAATCTTTCCGAAGGAGATTTCCAAACGGATATTTGTATGTACATGTTTATGTGCATTTTAGTCGTAAACAATTGTTAATCCTGATTCACTCTTGAAACAAGATGGAACCCACGAACCCGAATGCAAACACGTTCCATATGCCCAAATGACACTCTTGTAGGACACTCTTGTGGGTCACTCTTGTAGGAAGCTCTTGCGGGGCACTGTTTTGGGACGCTCTTGTAGGACACTCTTGCGGGACACTCTTGTAGGACACTCTTGTAGGACACTCTTGTGAGTCACTCTTACGGGGCACTTTTGTAGGACACTCTTGTGGGACACTCTTAAAGGACACTCTTGCAGGTCACTCTTACGGGACACTCTCTTGTGGGACACTCTTGTAGGACACTCTTGTGGGTCACTCTTTCACGACACTCTTGTAAGACACTTCTTGCGGGACTCTCTTATAGGACACTCTTGTGGGTCACTCTCATGGGACACTCTTGTGGGACATTCTTGTGGGCCACTCTTGTGAGACACTCTTGTGCGACACTCTTGTAGGAAACTCTTGTGGGGCACTCTTATCGGGCACTCTTGTGGGACGCTCGTATAGGACACTCTTGTGGGACACTCTTGTGGGACACTCTTGTAGGACACTCTTGTCAGGACACTCTTGTAGGACACTGTTGTGGGACACTCTTGTGGGACACTCTTATGGGACACTCTTGTAGGAAACTCTGGAAACTCTTGTGGGATACTCCTGTAGGACACTCTTGCGGGACACTCTTGTGAGACACTCTTGTGGGACACTCTTGTAGGGCACTCTTGCGCAACGCTCTTGTAGGACACTCTTGTGATCTCTTGTGGGACACTCTTATAGGACACTCTTCTGGGACACTCTTAGTCTTGTAGGACACGCTTTGAGGCTGCAAGACGAGCGTTTCGCGCGAAACTTCCTCCAAAAGTCACACGTCAAGTCTAGCAAGCGTTTCGTACGAGACTTCCTCCAAAAGTCACACGTCAAGTCTCCAAAACGAGCGTTTCGTACGAGACTTCCTCAAAAAGTCGCGCGTCAAGTCTCCAAAACGAGCGTTTCGCACGAGACTTCCTCAAAAAGTCACGCGTCAAGTCTCCAATACAAGACTTCCTCCAAAAGTCAAGCGGAAACACCCATCGGAGCACACACATCACACAGCCCTGCCAAGCAGTTTCCCGATTCCAGCCCCTCCAAACCACACCCGCTCACACGCCAATCCCAATGTGACAGCGACGCCCACCTCTACCACAACTCACAACCTCACGATTCCCCGCGCCTGCCACGAACCTTTCCGCGTCCACACGTTTAACACGCGCAAAGTACTGCGCCTGCCACGAAATGTCACCTCCGTCACACCTCGCAACCTCACGATTCCCTGTGCCTGCCACGAAAATCGCACTTCCACGCTTCAAAAGCCGCACAAAGTACTGCGCCTGCCACGAAAAGTGCCAATATCATCTCATGTGAGCTTCAACAAAATTTGCACCACACCACACGTTTGGAATGATTTCGACTCGTTCTGAGCACACTCCCATCCACCAGAATCGGCATTTCAGCTGAGACTTGTCACGAAAACAGAGCTTCGATGCCACACCCTGAAACGCAAATCCCAATGGCGCAGCCACATCCAACACCACAAAAACACGATTCTCCAAACGCTAATCCCAATGGAACTGCGCAGTAAACTGCGCACCTCACAAAACGCTGCGCCTGCGCAGTGAAATCCTCCAGCACGCTTCAACATCTTACATTTCCACACGATTCCTCGCTACTTCACGCGAATCTGACACGTCACGTTTTCATCCGAAACCCCCTCCAAAAGCTTCCCCCAATGGCAGCGCCTTAGCGTCCTACTGCAGACGGTTGCGGACGGTTGCGAACTTAGAAACACCGTGTCACGAACAAGGCTCTACCCCCAGACCCCCAGAGTTACGCATTCGGGAAATTTGTGGCTTTCTCAATTGATAGCTGAGAGGGGGTCGGTATACCGACTAGGAAATGACCTGTAAGACCCCCTCAGCGCAATCGCAGCATAGAGCCCGTGTCCCACAATTTACCCGCGCAGAAACCAATCCCCCGTTCGCGTTTGTGCTGCTTCGATATGTGTTTTTAGGTGTGCGACGTGCCGGTTCCCATGTTGGGAACATTGTGGTCACTGGGAACCCTGTGCGGTTTACGACTAAGAACAAAGATTAACATCAGCTAACTCATTGTTCCAGAACATGGGTCTCAGTAGTAACTATTGTGTCTTGTTTGGTTTGCAATCACAGGTGAAGGACGGTTCACTAATGTCCGTGCGTCGACTGTTTTGCTTTTGAGGACCTGCGAAAATAGCGGGATTTGCGCAAACCAACGAACTTCAGGCTGCTCCGACGAAAGAATGTTTTGAATCAAAAAACAAGGTAGCAAGAGAGTTCCTTGCAAAGGCGTGATTCATTTGTAGATTTGGTATTTGGATCAAGCTGGGTTTGATTTGGTTCACACACGTGCTTCCCACAGGCAGTTGTGTTTTCAAGAGTTCCGGTGCCCAACAATTCACGGCCACAAACAATCTTCACTCTAGTCAGTTGACTTGAAACCATTGCAAGACGGTCGAGTTGTGAAAGAGCATATGTGGTTTCAAGGGAGCACCACTACCTCAGAAGACAAGGTGCTGTACCCGAAATACGACCCTATCTCCTATGATCTGATTTTAGGGTGAAACACATCAGTCAATTTGTGGCAGAATCATATTTCGTAGCGCGCTAAGACGGGTGCACTTCAGGAAAACAGATTGGATGCGTGTTTGGCGACGCTGAGATGATTTGTTTTATACAGTGTTTCTTGCCCAAGTTTCTCAATCCTGAGCATGAGTTCAGGTTTCTAGCGTTGCTAGTTGGAATCTCTCACGCATTTCGACAGGTCACAAGCCAACCAGCTGCAGCGCTCGAATTGCCAGTCGTCGCCAAATTTATTGTTGTTTCCTCAACTTATATACTCTCATGCCTCCCGAAATTGCACTTGCAAATCAATCTGAGGATTCAACACGACAAGGGGAACTTTTGGTGCCTGCACCCTTGGGCCCAAGCCCGAGTCTACATTTTTCTCATTGACTCGTGCTCAGCACCGTTTGCGGTCAGCGCAGAGGTGATATGGCCCTGGCAGCTACATGCGACACATTTGGTTTGCGCCCATGCCGCTTCAACCCAGAGGGCCTACATGCTGTGCATTGATGAGGACGTGTGGCTTTGTTTTGCTTGGAAACTCTCCGGTGCCTTCATCTTTGGAAAGGTGCCCTGACAAAGGTCTTCCGAGTTGATCTGAGTTGCAAAACTTTGTCAACACAGTTCCTCGGCAAGGCTACCGCGATGCACAAGTTGCCTGGCTTGGATGCGGATGCCTTGGTCACAATGATGTTTCATTGTTTTTTAAGGGTTATATAGATACGCTAAATAGTTTCTTGTAAAGATGCGGGTCAGTCAACGTCTTAGCCGAGCAAATCAGCAGATGACAAGGTGCCGAAGAGCAACAAAATCCCGGTTCCCGCAGATTAATGTCAACAAATTGTAAGGATTCGATTCAAGCAAAAACGAGGCTTCTCAAGGTAGAGTAAAGAGCAGGAAGGAATGTCGAGAAGTCGAGTGGCTAGGGAGCTTGGAATATGTAGCTTTGGCATGCTTTGGCTTTGACAATGTTGCTTGTGTGTGTGGGTGGATGGCCATTGACGTCCCTCGCAGCGGACCAATCAGGGTCCTTTTAGGTGCACAGAGGGCAGTTCGTATTCTTTCAGTGGGTGAAGGCAAAGGAAGAGGGTGGATCGTGTGACCAAGAATGTTGTTTGCATCATGTTTGCATCCAAACAAACAGGTTGTTCCGTGCCTAGTGATTTATTATAGGAACGTTTTTTTAGATATAAAATCCAAAATAAATCAAGTTGTTTTATGATGTTTGTATACTTTTGTATACATTATGTTTTTTGTGTGTTGATATATTTGTGACTGCACGGGTGTAGATGTGAGGGGTGGCTACTACAAGATGATAAGTTGTTGCCCGAAAAGAGGCAAGTACACCCTGACCCGGAACAAGTTTCTTGAGCTATCTCAGACCTCTTGGCCGGCTTTCTGCTGAGGCCACAACCTTGGCAAGGACTCCCGGCCCCCCACATGCCCACACAATGTGTTTTGCTCCAGCGCATTTCCTTGCGCACGCTGTGTGCATCTGGCAGGGTCGGGGGTGGGGTGGCAGGTTGGGGCAAGCGGGCCCAACACTTATATAATTCCTTGCGATTCCTTGTGATGTGGTGTGATGTCAGGTCCAAAAAAGGGAGATGAAAAAGGTTAGTATAAACGGTCCTTAATGTCCTTGTCAATCTCTTTTTTGACACTGACACACTACAAATGGCAGTTTGCGGTCATTCGCAGTGATTGGCACCCGTGCTGAACCGAAAGCCCCGAGTTCCAAGGCCGGCGTTGGTCATTTATGCCCCGCGCCGGGGCTTGCTGGAGCACCTCGGGCCAAGTTCACTTAGAGCCTTAGGGCAAGGCCTCGCTTGCGCAGTTGATTGTGTAGGTTATGGGATTTGTGTTCTTGCTCTACGCCCCAGCGCATTGGAGCTAGTTGCGTGGGCTGGGCGCTGAGGTGCTGCTTGTTTGGGGGTTACAGCAAGTAATTGCTTGCAAATCATTTTGCATCAAAGCTCCTCCTCGACTGTACCTTAAATGAACACTTTGAGGGTCTACCAGTGCTAGTCAAGATGAACAAGACTACAACTGTTGCATGTTGTTCCCTGTGTGGTGTGCGTGTCGGCCTTGGTTTGGAGCGAGTGGCAGTGGGGGGAACTCAACCGACAGGAGCCAATGTCCGAAAAAATCGAAACAAGCGCTGGAAGAACTAAGGCTGACAGGATAGGATGTAATATAAGGATTGAACGAACGGTTCAATGTTGACCTGCATTGCGGTTGCAAGGCTTGTGTTGTTATCTATCTACATATATATATATATATGTAAAAACGCTATCAGGCTGGAGGCCATCGCAAGTAGGTTGGAGGCCATCGCTACTAGTAACAAGAAGCTACTAGTTTATATATATATATATATATGTACTTCCGCCCCCGGTAGTTAAGACGACCGGTCGAAGACGTTTTTGCCCATAGGGTTTGGCTCGAACTCCGATGCACCCCTGCCGCCTGTGCACAATGCAGTGCGCAGAGAACGACCCGATTTGTGCTTTCTGTCGGGGTAGGGACCGTCTTCGGAAGTCAGTCCCTAAGTCGGGGAGTGCTGGGAATCCTGGCGAGCGTTGCGGAGTCCCAGACAGAAGGCAGTGTGGACAAGAGCTTGATGCCTCAGGAGTGTCTCTGGCTCGCAGGCCTCGACTCTACTGGTGCGACTGGGAAGTTGGCTTCGGAGCTGGTGTGACCACTCATCCTCCTGAAGGACGCGGGAGGGCCAGCATCGGCCAGTTGAGCTGAGCGCGCAATTGGAGACCAGCATCTATCTTCAGCCTGGGTGCCAGAGGAATTCAGCAGACCCTTGCCTACATTCACCACGTCTAGGCCTCGCGAGCACCCCGGCAGAAGACCAGCAGGCTTGGCCAGGCTGAGCGAAACAGAGAAGGATATGTGGCACTTTTCAGTGCATGAGCAAGCATCACGTCAGGGAAGCACATAACGATGAGCGCAAGACGTTGATTGGCAATACCTGGAATGTCACGGTCTGTTGGCCCAGTTGGGTGCGCAACTTGGGCTGTGTGCTTGGTTGACCCCTCAGGACGTGGCGGGCCAAACTGCTCCAGGTAACTGTAGCAGGTATACTCATCTTACACCACTCATCTTCTTACACCACTCATCTTACACCACTCATCTTACACCGCTCATCTTACACCACTCATCTTACTCCACTCATCTTACACCACTCATCTTACGCGACTCATCTGGCTCCACTCATCTTACACCGCTCAGCTGACACCACTCATCTTACTCCACTCATCTTACACCACTCATCATACACCACTCATCTTACACCACTCATTTCACACCACTCATCTTACACCACTCATCCTACACCGCTCAGCTGACACCACTCATCTTATACTCCACTCATGTGACTCCACTCATCTTACACCACTCATCTTACACCACTTATTTTGCACCACTCATCTTGCTCCACTCGTCTTAGACCACTCATCTTACACCACTCTCATCTCACACCACTCATTTGACACCACTCATCTTATGCCCAGACTTCGTGGCAGGCGCAGTAGACAGAGCCTGCAGGAGGCCCGGGTGGACGCGTGGTCACCGCTGGGCCGCGGCTGCCTGGTGCAGATTTCGGCACAGCGCTTGCCTTTGGTGTGGCAGCGCATGGTGAACCTGGAGCGCAGATTTCGTGGCAGGCGCAGTACACAGAGCCTTCGGGAGGAGCTGCGGAACGCGCGGTCGCCGCTGGGCCGCGGCCGCCTTTTGTGTGCGCTTGATGAGGCTGGAGCGCAGATTTCGTGGCAGGCGCAGTACACAGAGCCTTCAGGAGGACCGGGTGGACGTGTGTGCGCCCGGCGGACGCGGCTGCCTTTTGCGTGGCAGGCGCAGCATTTAAAATTAAACCCACCTGGAGCGCAGATTTCGTGGCAGGCGCAGTACACAGAGCCGCGGCTGCCTTTTGTGTGGGTGGGGCACAGATTTCGTGGCAGGCGCAGTACGCAGAGCCTTCAGGAGGAGCTGCGGAACGCATGGTTGAGGCTGGGCCGCGGCTGCCTTTTGTAGGGCAGGCACAGCACTTGGTGAACGTGGAGTGCCGATTTTGTGGCAGGCGCAGAGTAGACAGAGCCTCCAGGAGGAGCTGCGGAACGCATAATCGCCGCTGGGCCGCGGCTGCCTTTTGTATGGCAGGCACAGCGCTTGGTGAGCGCGGAGTGCAGATTTTGTGGCAGGCGCAGGGCACACAGAGCCTTCAGAAGGAGAGCTGCGCGGTCGCTGCTGGACCGCGGCTGCCTTTTTCGTGGCAGGCACAGCGCTTTATGAACGTGGAGCGCAGATTTCGTGGCAGGCGCAGCACACAGAGCCTTCAGGAGGAGCTGCGGGACGCGTGGTCGCCACTGGGCTGCGGCTGCCTGGAGCGCAGACTTCGTGGCAGGCCCAGTGCACAGAGCTTTCAGGAGGAGCTGCGGAACGCGTGGTCGCCGCTGGGCCGTGGCTGCCTTTTGTGCGGTGGCAGGCACAGCGCTTGGTGAACCTGGAGCTCAGATTTCGTGGCAGGCAAAGTGCGCAGAGCCTTCGGCAGGAGCTGCGGAACGCGTGGTCGCCGCCGCGGCCGCCTTTTGTGTGGCAGGCACAGCACGTGATGAAGCTGGAGCGCAGATTTCGTGGCAGGCGCAGTACACAGAGCCTTCAGGAGGACTGGGTGGACGCGTGGGCGCCACGCGGACGCCGCGGCTGCCTTTTGCGTGGCAGGCGCAGCTTTTCTCGCCTGGAGTGGAGCGCAGGCACAGTATACAGAGCCTGCAGGAGGACTGGGTGGGCGTAGGCGCCGCTTGGCCGCGGCTGCCTTTTGTGTGGCAAGCGCTCTCAATCACGCACTGCTTCTTCTTTCACTTCACAGTCTCTTTCGTTCCCCACGTCTTAGTGTGGGGTTCTTCTTTTCTATGTCTCATCCCGCTTCTTCCGCTTCGCTTCTCCCGCGCCTCCGCCCCTCCTTCCACACTCATCTCACACACCACTCATCTCACACACCACTCATCTCACACA